CGGCGGCGGTGCACAAGCAGAAGGTCGAGAAGGACCTGCGCCTCCGCAGCCGCGTGAAGGAGGAGGCGGCGGCCGTCATGGGAGCCATTTTGGAGCGCTGGAGGGACTTGGCGGGCTCCAACTGCAGAGACAGTATGGCCGCCTACCTGGCCATAGCACGTCAATGGTCCGGCTTTGGATGCACACTGTGGAGCCACGCGGCGGCGGTGCACAAGCAGAAGGTCGAGAAGGACCTGCGCCTCCGCAGCCGCGTGAAGGAGGAGGCGGCGGCCGTCATGGGAGCCATTTTGGAGCGCTGGAGGGACTTGGCGGGCTCCAACTGCAGAGACAGTATGGCCGCCTACCTGGCCATAGCACGTCAATGGTCCGGCTTTGGATGCACACTCTATGAAGTCGACTTCTACATTGTGAGTAGTCGCTCTCGTCTCGTTGCCGGGGATCGAACCTGCGGACTTTTGGTCGCAAGCCGCATTCCTAGCCAATCGTACATTTGTAGTTGACATACTCGTGCGTTGCCATTTTTAATATTTCAACAGTTAAAGCACATTAGCAGGATAACGATAGCTGTTTGTTTCCATGAATATTTAATAGGTTCCGTTACATAGCCGGATAGGAATATTTAATTTTTGTGACTCTGAGTGATCACAATCATCATGCGCGTTTTATAGCATTTAAATGGCAAAAGCACATTAACAAATGACAGCTGAAATAATTTCATCGCGCGCACCAAAATTGTTTGGACATTTGCTCTCATGCTCTCATGCTATGCTCGGTTCAATGAATATCTCGCTATTCGCACGCAATGACTCAGGGCAGTGTCACTTGCACAAAGAGGATACCCAGATGTGGTCCCCGAGGTCACGCTGACATTTTGAGTGTCCTCTCCAGAGTTCAACGGGGAGCTTTTCCCAGAAATTGTGGTTGGGGGTGGCGGCCGGCAGCGTGTCTCTGTATCGCCAAGGAGAGGCCGAGGCCCTCGAGTCGTTTCCCTACGGACAGATCTGCTCGTACGGCGTCTCCGACAGCAACACGTTCAAGATCAGCGCCGGTGGCCGAGACATGCTCTTCGAAACCAACAAGGTAACCAACCAACCAACCAACGGACGGAAGACCGATTTTTGTCAGCAAAATGGCCTTTTCAGCGACTAGTCATATGTCGTGGATTTTTCTTGTCATGGGGATTTTGCTCTGATGATCGGTAACGGAATGCTTAAAAAAAAAAAAAAGTATTCAATAAAGAAAAATGAAAATGCAAAAATATTAGGAAATGAATTGAATCGATAATAAGTGCACGTTTGTGTCCGTCCCAGCTGAGCGAGATCACGCAGCTGATGAACGCGTACTTCAACGCCACCCGTCTGCAGCGAGGCAAAGGCGACGGCGTCAAAATCCACGACGGCACACTGGTGGGCTTCCGCCACCCGTCCGCGCCCGCCCTCCTGCCCTCGCACCCCGTCTGAGATGGACGCCGCCCAATGTGTCGGCGCCGGGGGACGAAGGCGAAGCTGTTCTCTGACGCAAAGCCCTCAAGAGCTGGACCACGAACAACTTCTCAGACATCTGCTTTCTGTCTTGGGCCCGTTTGGGTTAACTTTCCTCGAAGGCGGCCGTCATCCCTCTCGTGCGCTCCCCCCTCCTTCCCGCGCCCTTCGTCGAGGAGTTTTCATAAGGTCCCGGATCAGGCCTGCGTTACCGCAGAAGTGTTGATGCAGCCAACCATGTGAACTTGGAACTGGAAACAGATGCTGCGCCTTTGCGCGCTCAAGTCACCGTGGCTGTTGTCCTCTTGTCCAGGACCCTGACGGAAGGATCACTGTTGCTGTCCCGTTGTGGTCGTCGTCGTCGTCTTCTTCTATGGTTTCCTGCCCACTCGTCCCTCATGCGTACTTTGGCATTGACTGATGACGTTACAGCACAGCGCAGCTTTGCTAACAATTGTAAAACAGAGGTACCTTGACTTAAGAGCCCACCAATTTGACTTTTTCGTTTTACTGGCTGTCATTCATTCAATTATTAGATGTTTTTTGTTTGTTCTTTTTAAATTTCCACAAAAACACCTTCCCACTCAAACACACACACACCCACACACACACACACACACACACACACACAAAAGCAAACAGTGATCCCTCGCTATTCCGCGGTTTGTTTATCGCGGCTTCAGTGCATCGCGGATTTTTTCAAACATATTCATAATTTTTTTTTTTTTTAAGTCCGCAAACGGTCCTCGAGAAGCTGCGAAAGTCAGCAAAACAACAGCGAGTCACATAGAGCAACATATACAGTACTACATGTATATGTTTACTGTATTTTGTTCTTCATACACTAACCTAACCTACCTTATACATGTTTAAATCTATTAGTATACAGCATTGTCATGTTAATTACTTCAAAATTTACTTCTACATGAATGTATACCATTAAATTTGGCCTTAGAAATGTGTACATGTACCTATGTAGAGGGGGGGGGTCGCTACTTCGCGGATTTTCGTTTATCGCGGGTGATTTTGGTCCCCATTAACCGCGATAAACGAGGGATTACTGTATTGTCACTAAATAACATGCACCCAAAAACACGGGATTGAGCCCGCGACCACTCTACTGCCTGAGTGAGGTCGTGACAACTAGAAGGCATCTCAGAAGAGGCCATAGACTCATCGGTACTGTGTTCCAAAAATGTCCAATATTTCACAAATCCTGACAGGATTTGTAAATTTATGAGCGCAACTATAACTAGCATGCATGCACAAGTTTCATGCTCATGACAACAGATCTGACAAGTGACAAATCCCCAGGTTACAATTTTTTTTTTTAGCCTCTCTCTCTCTCTCTCTCTCTCTCTCTCTCTCTCTCTCTCTCTCTCTCTCTCTCACACATACATACACAGACAAAACCTCACACGTACACACAGCACACAAAAACAGATAGACGAAGAAACACACAAACACACAAAATATGCACAAAAACAAACACGCATGTGACACAAAACGCACACAAAAAAAAAACATGCACACAAAAACAGACGTGCAAAATGTTTGAAGTTTCTTCCCCGAGCCAAAGTGTTGCCCTGTTTTAGGCTGGACCAAAGATTTTTTTTTATTTTTTTAATGCATTATATTTTAGCAATGATTCCCCTCTCTCTGCCCCACCTTCCACTTTTCGATTCAAGCATTTAATTTTACTCGAGGAGCGATTTTGTGGAGCTAATTGTGCAGTGTAAGTTTCCCATGTGACAAGACATCACAAAAGAAATCAACGCCAGCAGCATGTTCTGTATCAGATGAACGGGCAAAACCTTGACTTCTTGGCAGCTGCAGGCAGCTTTGGGATGATGGAGCACAACAACAACAAGAAAACCCATTTTGTTTTACAGTCACTTTGTACGCTGCATGGTACCTCTTGATCTAATGTGTGTGTGTATAGTTGATTGCACTATTTTTTTAAAACTAACTTGGAAGTGCAATAAGAGAAATACTGTATGTAATTATTAATAAAAAACAAAATAGCACCGTTTTATTGTATTTAATTTTTTTACCCCTCTCAGACAACTTTGGTGTTTTTTTTTGTTTTTTTGTTGATTTTTTTAGCTGGCCACGTTTCATTTGAAAAGGTAAAGTTACGACCCATGCGCTTTTTAAATTCCCTCAGATACACAGAAAAAAATTTGATTCGAAATTCTTTAATTCTATTCGAATTTTCTTTTAGCGAAACAGGAGTTGATTTTTAGAATTGAGAAATATGGAATGAAAAAAACGACAGTGAATATATAGTAAGGCGTTTTTTTTTCCTTGAAAAAAACAACAACAATGTATTGGAAGGCGTCTTCAGCCCCAAAAAAATGACCATGTATAGAAAGCCGTTTTGAGCCGAAAAAAACCAACCATGTGTATTAAGGCGTTTTTTTAGCCCCAAAAAACAGCTATTTATAGTAATGAGGTGTTTTGATCCGAACAAAACGACCATTTATCGTAAGGCGTTTTTAGCCGCAAAAAAACAACCATGTATAAAAAGGCGTTTTTAGCCGAAAAAAAACGAGTGTATAGTAAGGCGTTTTTGGCCGAAAAAAAACAACCATGTATTGTAAAGCGTTTTTAGCCCATTTTTAGGCGAAAAAAACGACCATGTATATTAAGGCGTTTTTGGCCGAAAAAAAAAAGTACAGTAAGGCGTTTTTGGCCGCAAAAAACGACCATGTATAGTAAGGCGTTTTTGGCACAAAAAAAACGGACCGTGTACAGTCAGGCGTTTTTGGCCGAAAAAAAAAAGACCATGGATAGCAAGGTGTTTTTGGCCGAAAAAAACGACCATGTATAGTAAAGCGTTTTTGGCCGAAAAAAAACAACAGTGTATAGAAAGGCGTTTTTGGCCGAAAAAAAATGACCATGTGTGTAGTAAGGCGTTTTTGGCTGAAAAAAACGACCATGTATAGTAAGGCGTTTTTGGCCGAAAAAAAACGACAGTGTATAGTAAGGCGTTTTTGGCCCTAAAAAACGACCATGTATAGTAAGGCGTTTTTGGCCGAAAAAAAACGACAGTGTATAGTAAGGCGTTTTTGGCCCTAAAAAACGACCATGTATAGTAAGGCGTTTTTGGCCGAAAAAAAACGACAGTGTATAGTAAGGCGTTTTTGGCCCTAAAAAACGACCATGTATAGTAAGGCGTTTTTGGCCGAAAAAAAACGACAGTGTATAGTAAGGCGTTTTTGGCCCTAAAAAACGACCATGTATAGTAAGGCGTTTTTGGCCGAAAAAAAACGACAGTGTATAGTAAGGCGTTTTTGGCCCTAAAAAACGACCATGTATAGTAAGGCGTTTTTGGCCGAAAAAAAACGACAGTGTATAGTAAGGCGTTTTTGGCCCTAAAAAACGACCATGTATAGTAAGGCGTTTTTGGCCGAAAAAAAACGACAGTGTATAGTAAGGCGTTTTTGGCCCTAAAAAACGACCATGTATAGTAAGGCGTTTTTGGCCGGAAAAAAACGACCATGTATAGTAAGGCATTTTTGGCTAAAAAAAACGACGATGTATAGTCAGGCGTTTTTCGCTGAAAAAAACGACCATGTATAGTAAGGCGTTTTTTGCCGAAAAAACGACCATGTATAGTAAGGCGTTTTTTGCCGAAAAAACGACCATGTATAGTAAGGCGTTTTTTGCCGAAAAAACGACCATGTATAGTAAGGCGTTTTTTGCCGAAAAAACGACCATGTATAGTAAGGCGTTTTTTGCCGAAAAAACGACCATGTATAGTAAGGCGTTTTTTGCCGAAAAAACGACCATGTATAGTAAGGCGTTTTTTGCCGAAAAAACGACCATGTATAGTAAGGCGTTTTTTGCCGAAAAAACGACCATGTATAGTAAGGCGTTTTTTGCCGAAAAAACGACCATGTATAGTAAGGCGTTTTTTGCCGAAAAAACGACCATGTATAGTAAGGCGTTTTTTGCCGAAAAAACGACCATGTATAGTAAGGCGTTTTTTGCCGAAAAAACGACCATGTATAGTAAGGCGTTTTTTGCCGAAAAAACGACCATGTATAGTAAGGCGTTTTTTGCCGAAAAAACGACCATGTATAGTAAGGCGTTTTTTGCCGAAAAAACGACCATGTATAGTAAGGCGTTTTTTGCCGAAAAAACGACCATGTATAGTAAGGCGTTTTTTGCCGAAAAAACGACCATGTATAGTAAGGCGTTTTTTGCCGAAAAAACGACCATGTATAGTAAGGCGTTTTTTGCCGAAAAAACGACCATGTATAGTAAGGCGTTTTTTGCCGAAAAAACGACCATGTATAGTAAGGCGTTTTTTGCCGAAAAAACGACCATGTATAGTAAGGCGTTTTTTGCCGAAAAAACGACCATGTATAGTAAGGCGTTTTTTGCCGAAAAAACGACCATGTATAGTAAGGCGTTTTTTGCCGAAAAAACGACCATGTATAGTAAGGCGTTTTTTGCCGAAAAAACGACCATGTATAGTAAGGCGTTTTTTGCCGAAAAAACGACCATGTATAGTAAGGCGTTTTTTGCCGAAAAAACGACCATGTATAGTAAGGCGTTTTTTGCCGAAAAAACGACCATGTATAGTAAGGCGTTTTTTGCCGAAAAAACGACCATGTATAGTAAGGCGTTTTTAACCAATTTTTAGCCGAATAAAATGACCATGTACAGTAAGGCGTTTTTGGCTGAAAAAAACGACCATGTATAGTAAGGCGTTTTTGGCCGAAAAAAACGAGGGTATAGTCAGGCGTTTTTGGCCCGAAAAAACGACCATGTATAGTAAGGCGTTTTTGGCCGAAAAAAACGAGGGTATAGTCAGGCGTTTTTGGCCCGAAAAAACGACCATGTATAGTAAGGCGTTTTTGGCCGAAAAAAACGAGGGTATAGTCAGGCGTTTTTGGCCCGAAAAAACGACCATGTATAGTAAGGCGTTTTTGGCCGAAAAAAACGAGGGTATAGTCAGGCGTTTTTGGCCCGAAAAAACGACCATGTATAGTAAGGCGTTTTTGGCCGAAAAAAACGAGGGTATAGTCAGGCGTTTTTGGCCCGAAAAAACGACCATGTATAGTAAGGCGTTTTTGGCCGAAAAAAACGAGGGTATAGTCAGGCGTTTTTGGCCCGAAAAAACGACCATGTATAGTAAGGCGTTTTTGGCCGAAAAAAACGAGGGTATAGTCAGGCGTTTTTGGCCCGAAAAAACGACCATGTATAGTAAGGCGTTTTTGGCCGAAAAAAACGAGGGTATAGTCAGGCGTTTTTGGCCCGAAAAAACGACCATGTATAGTAAGGCGTTTTTAGCCAATTTTTAGCCAAATAAAACGACCATGTATGGTAAGGCATTTTTGGCTGAAAAAAACGACCATGTATAGTAAGGCGTTTTTGGCCCTAAAAAACGACCATGTATAGTAAGGCGTTTTTGGCTGAAAAAAACGACCATGTAGAGTAAGGCGTTTTTGGCCGAAAAAAACGAGGGTATAGTCAGGCGTTTTTGGCCCGAAAAAACGACCATGTATAGTAAGGCGTTTTTGGCTGAAAAAAACGACCATGTAG